ATATATATATATATATATATATATATATATATATATATATATATATATATATATATATATATATATATATATATATATATATATATATATATATATATATATATATATGTGTGTATATATGTAGATATATATATATATATATATATATATATATATATATATATATATATATATATATATATATATATATATATATATATATATATATATATATATATGTATATATACATATGTAGTATGTTTACTGTATATCATTGTTGAAGTTTTGTAGTTTTTGATATTTATAATAGTTGATCATCATCGATAGTTTTCCAGCAAACAAGAAACCTGTATGTGATTCAGCCCTTTGTAATGATAAGCACTGTTTGCTGCTTTAGATGGATTATTTTACCTCTTATGCTGAATATACAGAAATCCAATGATAAAGTTTAATATAGATTATTAATATAGAATATATTTACAACTTTTAAATGTTTTTGGTGTCCCTTAATGAATTATGAAGTTGTTATTATTATAGTATATTGATTTTGCAATGAAAAAGCCATACAGTTAATTGTTTCACTCATCATAGCACACGTGCTGCTGATGATGTGACAATAAAAAATTATTTGATTTGATTTGTTGATGTGGCAATAAATAAGCAAAAAAAAAAAAAAAAAACTCCCTCTCTTTACCTAACAGAGAAGAATGAGAAGAAACCTCAGAAGTCATATTTGATCCACGCTGGACTGGAGCCTCTGACCTTTACCAACATGTTCCCCAGCTGGGAGCACAGAGAGGACATTGCTGAAATCACAGAGAGGGTGAGGCGCTTCACATTTACTGCGTTAACTGTGTTAACCTTTTGCTAGAAGCCTATATGTGGAGCATTGACTGCTTTAAACTGTAGCAATGTCATGCTGTATTGTCCCTGTTGAATAAACCTGCTCACAAAATAATTTCAAGTTTGGATAAAGTGAGCCATTTTGCAGATCATGATGAGTTCCTTGAAAATGGCAGGAGGATGCATTACCATTTTGAAGAGTTTGGAGCAAATTTCTTTGTGCTTGTGCGATGAATGCCACATTGATGGACTGTTTGAGAGTACATGTGTGTGTGTGTGTGTGTGTGTGTGTGTGTGTGTGTGTGTGTGTGCGTGTGCGTGTGCGTGTGCGTGTGCGTGTGCGTGTGCGTGTGCGTGTGCGTGTGCGTGTGTGTGTGTGTACAGGAGGCAGAGGTGTGTAATCAGATCATTCTGGTGGAGGATGTTTTGGCTCGTCTCTGTCAGAGCACATATCCTCTAGAAACACTGCAGACTCGTCCTCTTCCTCACGGTGTCGACCCTCTCAAACTGGAGGTGTACCTCACCGATGAAGACTTTGAGGTAAAGCACTGCGCTACAGTCAGAGAAAGTCATGTGCATATTGGACCAACATGTTCAACCTTTTCCTCTTTCTATTAATAGTTTGTTGCTAATTTGCAGCACTTGTCCTTGTTTTGTTAACCCTGTAACAGCCCCACCAAGGAAAAAAATGGATTGCATTTCTTAACTCCTAATGTCGCTAGTTAACACACTTAATGCATTTTTTTCAACACATCCCATAATTTCTAAAATATCAGCTTCTGCCAAAGGTACCGGAATTAATCCATATACTATGAAAAATCTGACAATATGAAGTATAAGACCAATTTATTTAAAAACATAATCAAAATAAAACAATTTTGAATACTAAATCATCTTTAGGGATGCCATCAGATATTTCAGATTCTCATTCAACATGCTTTCTTGTTGTTGTTTTTTTAAAATAAAACCAAAATCAAGTGTAGAAGTGCAACTGGATTATGTTTGTTTGTTTGTTTGTTTTTTTGTTTGTTAGGTTTTTTTTTTTTTTGTAAACCAACAATGCAGTGTGTTCAAACCATTATTTAAAACACTCATTCAAATGACTTTAACAACAGTCCTTACAGTGCATCCGGAAAGTATATATAGCGCTTCATTTTTTCCACATTAGCCCATAATGACAATGTGAAAAAATAGTTTTTGAAATTGTTGCAAATATTATTAAAAATAAAAACCTTGAAAAATCACATGTACATAATTATTGTCAGTCTTTGCCGTGAAGCTCTAAATTGAGCTCGTGTACATTCTGTCTCCACTGATCATTCTTGAGATGTTTCAGCAGCTTCATTGGAGTTCACCTGTGGTAAATTCAGTTGATTGGACATGATTTGAAAAGGCATACACCTGCCTATATAAGGTCCAGGGTTGACAGTGCATGTCAAAGCACAAACCAAGCATGAAGACAAAGGAATTGTCTGTAGACATCTGAGATAGGGTTGTCTCGAGGCACAAGGCTGGGGAAGGTTACAGAAAAAGTTCTGTTGCGCTAAAAGTTCCAATGAGCACAGTGGCCTGCATCATCCCTGAGTGGAAGATGTTTGGAACCACCAGGACTCTTCCTAGAGCTGGTCGGCCATCTAAGCTGAGTGAACAGGGGAGAAGAGCCTTAGTCAGTGAGGCGATCAATGACCCGATGGTCACTCTGTCTGAGCTCCAGTGTTATTCTGTGGAGAGAGGAGAACCTTACAGATGGACAACAGTCTGTGCAGCAATCCACCAGTCAGGCCTGCATGGTAGAGTGGCCAGACAGAGGCCACTACCCGCCTGGAATTTGCCGTACGGCATCTAAAGGACTCTCAGAGACTATAAAAACAAAATTTTCTGGTCTGATGAGACTAAAATTGAACTTTTTGGAGTGAATGCCAGGCGTTATGTTTGGAGAAAACCAGGCACCGCTCATCACCAGGTTAATACCATCCCTACAGTGAAGCATGGTGGTGGCAGCACCAGACATGCTGAATGTAAACCTGCTTCAGAGTGCTCTTGACCTCAGACTGGGGTGACGGTTCATCTTCCAGGAAGACAATGACCCAAAGCATACCGCCAAAATATCGATGGAGTGGCTTCACAACAACTCAGTGAATGTCCTTGAGTGGCCCAGCCAGAGCCCAGAACTAATACCTATTAAATATCTCTTGAGAGATCTGAAAATGGCTGAACACTGTCACTTCCCATCCAACCTGATAGAACTTGAGAGATACTGCAAAGAGGAATGGGCAAAAATTCCCGAAGACAGGTGTGCCAAACATGACTTGAGGCTGTAATTGCTGCCAAAGGTGTATCAACAAAGTATTGAGCAAAGGCTGTGAATACTCCTGTACATGTGATTTTTCAAGGTTTTTATTTTTATAATTTTGCAACAATTTCAAAAACTCTGTTGTCACGACCATTAAGGGCTATTGTGTGTAGAATTTTGAGGAAATAAATCAATCCATTTGAAATAACATTTAAAAAATGTGGAAAAAGTTAAGCACAATGAATACTTTCAGGATGCACTGTATTTAAAACGGTCAAAATATGGTCAATGGTTTGTTAGAGCTGGCGGTTAAAGGGATAGTTCACTCCAGTTTACCCACCCTTCATTTGTTTAACCCTGTTTGAGTTTCCTTCTTCTGTTCAACACAAAGGAAGATGTTTTGAAGAAAGTTGAAAACTGGTAACCATTGACTTCCATATTTGTTTTTCCAACTATAGAGGTCCACGGTTACCAGTTTTCAGCTTTCATCAGGATATCTTCTTTTGTGTTCAACAGAAAAAAGAAACTCATAAAGGTTAAGTAGCACTTGATGTAGAGTAAATGGTGTATAAACTTTTATTTTTGGGTGAGTTATACTCTTAAGGAAATACAACCAAAAAGCCAAAACAACTAAAATTATAAAATTAAGAATTCCAATATCATTAAAATACAAATAAATCACAAGCAATTCTGAATATGAAGAAGAAAAACAAGCACAAATAAGACCAATAACTCTAAACAAAGAAATGATCACAAAAGTAACCCAGATTTTAATAACTGTATTGAATTATTTTGCCAAAATGAATTAGCTTTGGTTGGTTGCTTAACCAAGTATAATGTGACTAGACACTAAGAATGAAATGTTTTGCGGTTTTAGGCGGGGTTGTAGGGAATTCATCGCAGGTAAGTGCTATAGTATCTCTGAAATAGGCCGTCAGAGGAATAGATGGTTTCTATTCTAACTCCTTGAGCACTATTTCCTAAACCTTACTTTTACAATAAATTTCTTCCTGGTCTTGCTCACTTTGGAAAACTCACATCAAATTAAACACAAATGCATGCATAGTGCACACACGAACACAATCTGAGCTGTTTTAATCACACAAGCCACTTCTTCAACAAAGAATGTTTTTCTGAAGAGTACAGTGTCCTATCTAGGCGTGATGTGATAAGTAAATAAATATCTGTGTCCCTCTGATAAGGATTTGCTATGAAAATGCAACTGAAACTGATTGATTTTAAGTAGGACTTTGGCTGTTTAAAAGCTCTGGATTGATTCTTTTAATATTCATTTAGTGTAATCTAACAAAACATAAACAGTTGTGGTTCATTTTGGTCTATTAGGACTGCATTTATACACACTGTGATCTAAATTTCCTATAGAGAATTAAATAAGAGAGGATGTAAGGTCTGCCATTGGTTGGCAAACACACATTCCCTCCCCTAACTCACAGCAGGTTAGTTAATTTATGTTAGGCTTATGTTTGTTATCTCTGGACTTTAAACTGTGATAAAAGTAAGTGTTATAAAACTGTACATATCAGTTTTAACCTGGATTTCTGCACAAATAGCAAGAATGACATGCTGAGTAGCCATGCTCACAGTGAAGTTATATTTTTCCACTCAGTTCATTTGTATTTGAATGATAAATTATCATTTATTTTCACTGTGATTTTTCTTTGTATTGCTTTATTTGAACAGACAATTTAGTTTGACGTAAACTTAATGCGCCTAGCTAGGACATCGTTACTGTAATCCTTTTCTCCTTGCTTTTCTGTCAATTTATGATTTGTATAATTTACAAACTCTTTTCAAAATATTGGGGTCAGTATTTTTTTATAAATGTCTTTATTAATCAATGATGCTTTAAATAGTTCTGTGTCAGGGAAGTTATTCATAATTTTTCAAATATTAATTTTGATAGCAAGTAAATGCTGAGTATCCCGAAAAAATGTAAAATTAGTGCTCTTTTTTTCAGTTGTCAGTGTTGAAAACAAAGTAGTGTTTGCTCAAAATGTTTACCAGATCTATTTATTTTTTATTCATTTATTTCACTTTATTTATTTATTTAAATTTATTAATTGTACTTTATTCAATTATTTATTTTCCTTTATTTCATATATTTATTGTATTTATTTATTTATTTATTTATTTATTTATTTATTTATTTATTTATTTATTTATGTTGTTTGTTTATTTATTGTATTTATTTATTTAATAATATTTATTTTACTCTATTCATTTATTTGTTGATTTATTTATTTTACTTTAGTCATTTATTGTATTTATTTATTTTATTGTATTGATTTATTTATTTGCAATTATTTATTTTGCTTTTATTTATTTGAATTCATTCATTTTTCATTATTCATTATTTTTTACTATATTTAATTTTATTCATTTATTTATTCTACTTTATTGATTTATTGTGTTCTTTTATTTATTTACAATTGTTTATTTTGCTTTATTTTTTATTTATTTGATTTATTTATTTATTTTACTTTATTTATTTATTTTACTTTATTTATTTATATTGCTTTATTTATTGTATATAATTAAATATTCTGCTTTATTTATTTGTTTATCTACTATTATTTATTTTACTTTTTTATCTTACTTTATTTATTTAATTTACTTTATTCATTTATTAATTAGCTTTATTAATTTTACTTTATATATTTATTCATTTATTTATTTTACTTTATTGATTTATTGTATTTATTTATTTCATTGTATTTATTTGTTTGTTTACTATTATTTATTTCGCTTTTATTTTTATATTCTACTTTATTTATTTATTGTGTTTATTTATTTTATTTATTTAATTACTATTATTTATTTTACTTTATTTATTTTAATGTATTTATTAAGTTATTGTACTTTATTCATTTGCTTATTTGTTTTACTTTATTATTTATTTTACTTTATTTTACTATATTATTTATTTTACTTTATACATTTATTTATTTTACTTAATTTATTTTTTGTATTCAATTATTCAACTTGCTTTATTTATTCCTTTATTTTACTTCAATAACTTTACTTTGTTCATTTATTTATTTTACTTTATTTTCTTTATTTTATAGTATTTTTATTTATTTACTTTTACTTTACTCATTTATTTATTTTACTCTATTTTTATAATTTTTATTATTTAATTTTTTTATTAATTATATTAAAAAAAAATGTTTCTTTGTTGGTTCATTCATTTATTTATTTATTTATTTATTTGTTTGTTTATTTATTTATTTATTTATTTATTTATTTATTTATTTATTTATTTATTTATTTATTTATTTATTTATTCTCTTTCGGTCTTCTCCTAGACCAGCTTTGGTCATAAGAATTGGCTGATTGCATATTATCATTGATTGCATAAAAGCATTTGAAAAACAATCACTGATCCCAAACTTTTGAATAATATTATATAATATTTCTTTGTCATTTTATTTTTCTCTCACTGCACCTTTTTCTTGTTTTTCCAGAGAGTGTTAGACATAAAGAGAGACGAGTTTGACGCTCTGCCCGGATGGAAGCAAGTGAACCTAAAAAAAGCCAAAGGACTCTTTTAGAAACCTGACATTCGTCATCACGGCGACGAATTATCACTGTCCATTTCCACCATGGCCTCCAGTTCTGTGCTCGCCTCAACATTACATTGAGATGACTGTGCACTGAGAACAGGGTAAACGGTCAGGTCAAAGGTCACTTTAGGATCTACAGATGCACATGCTGTGGTGTCCGCTTTCGATGTACTTATTCAGTCTGTGAAAGTGATGTCTGTGTGTGTTTATGTGTGTGCGTCTCCTCACCATATTCATGTACGACGGTTTCAAGTCTGTGATCGGTGCGTAAATCCCTGTAACTTCGAAAACCAACATGATCAGGTACATGAAATCAAGTGATTCGCTCAGCTTCCCATTCAGGCAGATCTGCGATGGGTTTCTGTTATAAGTGTGTGTGTTTATGTATGGTAAGTCTGCTGAATAATTGGAAATTGTATAAACTTTGTAGCAAACGGCAGCAAATCATGTTGTTGTTGTATACGTATGTTAGATTATTCTTTTGTGATTCATCATGAGGGGTTTACATGCTGCGTCTGTGTGTTTTTCTGGTGTGAATGGCTGTTGGTTGTGGTGCTGATGGTCTCTTGTTCTTCGGATGTGAGGGACGTCGTTTTTTTGTTTGTGTTTTGACGGCATGAAATGATGGACGAGAGAAAGAAATTAATTTAAATGTACAGTATAGTGCCTTGCTTTCGTGTACAGTTTCTATACCAAACACACACTAGTCTGCATTTCAGAGACTTTCTTTGTGATAAAAGACGTAGCAAATAAAGAAAGCAAATTGAAAACCTAATATTTTTATGCTTTTCTCATGTTTTTACACATTTTCAGGACAAAACTGTATAATACAAACTTAGAAACTGAACAAAAAAATGTGTGTACAGCAATTGTTTTTCATCTGATTTAGATGGATAAAGAGTGACAGTGTTTGGAAAAAAAGCTGCTAGCTGGCTGTAGGTTTATATGAAGAGTTCAGACGCAATAGCCGCTAAACGCCACTTCCACCAAAAAATATGAGCTGTACATAAACTATTTTGTTTTAAAATTAAATCTTCATCAGATTTGTCTGCTGGACTGCTCCATAATTGGGGATGAGAGGAAATGTTAGGTTGGATGTAGTAATTACATTAAAAAATGATTTGTTAGACCCTCACTATACAAAATAAACAAAAGCTATGTTTTACAAACTTCAAGATATTTATTGGGGGCCCCTAGATTTCCCAGGACCCCTTACCTCACTTATTGATTAAGTCCAGCCCTGGGTTCTCCATAGACATAATGACGTTTATAATGTAGAAACTGTATTCTGTTGACATATCCTGAAACCCAAACCTCAGCATTTTTACATTTTCAAAATATCTCCATATTCCAATTGGCTTCATCACTGTCTCCTCTCCACCAATCAGCTGGTGTGTGGTCTGGCGTAAAATGGCTGCCGTCGCGTCTTCTAGGTGGAGCTAGCTAGCTCAGCTAGCTCTCTGCAACTCTCACATGGTTGCCCACTGAAGCTAAGCTGGGCTGCGCCCGGTCAGTACCTGGATGGGAGACCACATGGGAAAGCTAGGTTGCTGCCGGAAGTGGTGTTAGTGAGGCCAGCAGGGGGCACCCAACCTGCGGTCTGTGTGGGTCCTAATGCCCCAGTATAGTGACGGGGACGCTCTACTGCTTAGTGAGCGCCGTCTTTCGGATGAGACGTTAAACCGAGGTCCTGACTCTCTGTGGTCGTTAAAAATCCCAGGATGTCCTTCGAAAAGGTGGTTTAACCCCGGCATGCTGGCCAAATTTGCCCACTGGCCTCTGTCCATCATGGCCTCCTAACCATCCCCATGTTCCAATTGGCTTCATCACTGTCTCCTCTCCACCAACCAGCTGGTGTGTGGTGTGCGGTCTGGTGCAAAATGGCTGCCGTTGCGTCATCCAGGTGGATGCTGCACACTGGTGGTGGATGAGGAGACCCCCCCCCCATTGTGTGTAAAGCGCTTTGAGTGCCCAGAAAATTATTATTAAGGAATTATTATTATTATTAATATTATTATTATTATTATGTCTGATTTATGCATTTGTGCCTGTGAAAACCTCAATTTAGGTCCCCCTAGTGACCTATTAGTAGGCCCACATGGAATCTGTGCCTGCGGGAATCTGTGGATTTGCAGCCCATCATTGAGTCTATTTATGTACTTTTGTGTAAATGTGTGTAAATTTATATTTCAGTTTTTTTCATCAATTTCAGTAATATTATTAACAAATTTGAAAATGTTTGTATGATTTATTAACAATACAGTTTGTAAATTCATTAATTTTCAACCGCTTTTCTGGGGCTGGGTCGCGGGGGCAGCAGTCTTTAGGAGAGAACCGCAGACTTTCCTCTTCCCGGACACTTCCTCCAGCTACTCCACACTGAAAAAAATGATTCAAAGATAATTCCTTGCATTTAATAAGTTAAGCGGTGGTAAACAATTTATTTGGGCTGAATTTAAACAAACAAATTAAGTTAAACATTACAAAATTTAATTTGTTTAAATTCAACCCAAATAAATAGTTTGCAACAGTTTCCCAAACATAACTTTTTTTTTTTAGTGCAGGGGACATAGGCCCATCCAGCGTGTCCTGGGTCTTCCCTGAGGCCTCCTCCCGGTGGGACATTTCTGGAACACCTCCCTAGGTAGGTGTCCAGGAGGCATCCTAAACAGATGACTGAGCCACCTCAGCTGACTTCTCTCAATGTGGAGGAGCAGCCGCTCTACTCCAAGCTCCTCCCAGATGACAGAGCTCCTCACCCTATTTATAAGGGTGTGCCCTGCCACCCCTCAAAGAAAACTCATTTCGGCCGCTTGTATCCAAGATCTTGTCCTTTCGGTGATGACCATAGGTGAGAGTAGGAACGTAGATTGACCGGTAAATTGAGAGCTTTGCCTTTCGGCTCAGCTTCTTCTTTACCACAATGGACCGGTACATTGATCGCATTACTGCCGCCGCTGCACTAATCCTTTTTTTATCCTTTCCTCACTCGTGAACAAAACCCAGGGGTAAGGACTTTCCTCTAACCTGAAGATGACAAACTACTTTTTCCAGTGGAGTACCATGGCCTTGAACTTGGAGGTGCTGATTCTCATCCCAGCCACGTCACATTCGGCAGCAAACCACCCCAGTACATGCTGAAGGTCCATGTTAGATGAAGCCAACAGAACAACATCGTCTGCGAATAACAGATGAAATCCTGTGGTCCCTGAACCGAACCCCCTCCACCCCAAGGCTGCACTTTGAAATTCTGTCTACAAAGATTATGAACAGAACTGGTAACAAAGGGCAGCCCTGCCAGAGTCCAACATGCACTGGAAACAAGTCTGACTTATTTCCGGCAATGCGAACCAAACTCCTCTGTTCATACAGGGACTGCCCTTCACAGAGCGCCTCTGATCAGTTTGTAAATTCATTCATTCATTTTTAGCTTAGTCCCTTAGTACCGTCAACTCATCTAGCATATGTTTAATGCAGCGGATGCCCTTCCAGCTGCAACCCATCACTGGGAGACACCTATACACTCTTATTCACAAACATACACTACGGACCATTTTAGCTTACCAAATTCACCTACACTACATGTCTTTGGACTTGTGGAGGAAACCGGAGCACCCGGAGGAAACTCAAGCGAACGTGGGGAGAACATGCAAACTGACCCAGCCGAGGCTCGAACCAGCGACCTTTATGCTGTGAGGGGAGAGCACTACCTACTGCCTCAGTCACCCAGTTTGTAAATATTAAATGTAAATAAATGTTTGTATTTTCTGTCTTTTCGTAGATATAAGAGACTTGCAGATCTAATTGGATTTGCATTATAAACATTAAATAAAAGTTTAAAATTTAAATTTTTAATTATTTTTTTCTCAAATATTAAGGTTTTAGTTATGATACTCCCAACATTATTCTCCATAAATCTGCAAAGTTTTAACACAATTCTGTGCAGAAATTGCAAAAAAAAAAAAAAAAAAAATGTCAGCAGATTCTGCTTAGCCCTATCTATCAGTTTGTGTGCATTCAATTTTAATTCCCCACTGGGAAATACAACATATATATAAACACACACTGAATAGCAATCTTTATAAAGACGTCTCATAAACATAATGATTTCAATACTGTACAAACTGAATATTCTGCAATTTATTTGCAAAATGCTTCATTCTGTGACCAAAATAAAAGTCCAATAAGGTCAAAGTTGCTATTGTTATACTTTGTTAGGACATTTGGTCCTCACAACGTAGGGAATGCAATACACAGACATAAAAAGCGAAAATACATTATAGGCTAACCCATGCTCGTGCTCGAGTTTTGTTTCGTGAGCTCTGATCCATGATGCTGATAAGTGTTCGCCCTCAGGGAGGATCTCATTGTCGAATAAAAAGCGAAAGTATTTTTCCTCCATGGTATCATCAATTCTGTACAATCTCTCGGGACTACACAGCGATGTTCAAGCTCCAGGTATGATGTTTGTTTCAGTAAATCTTGGTGGCACTAGAGTATTACAAATTTACGAACTCATTTAGACTAAGTGCAAAATGGTGTACTTGTATAGCTTTTTAAGTTTGTTTGTAATTGCATCTTTTCACATTACTCTGAATAATTTGCTGTAGTATTCTTCATTTGCTTACACAGATACAGTACAATGCTGAAATGAAACCTAATAGACGAACTGAGATATTTATAGAACGGAACGGAAATGTTTTTGTGGTTAAGCCTCACAACCACAATATGCTGCTTCCGGCAGAGGGCGTCCCACAAACATAAGTGGACACATGCATTCTTTCCAATACATATCAGCATATGTCAGCAATATACTGTAATTCAACACTTGCTGCAGGTTCTTGTTGCAGTGTAGTGTTGTCTATATAACGTTTGCCTCCTATATTGTTTTGGAAAAATTTTTATGGAAATTAAATATTTACATAGATTTAATCTTTTTAAATAGGACTACAGGTTTATAAAATCGGCATAACTAATTGTGCTTCTGTAGAATTAGCTTCATACTATAACATTGCTTGCTGCTTAGAGACGTAATTAAACTTAACTGAAGTCAGATAATGTAGTATTTGTGAGGATGTGAGCAACTAATTATAGTCAAGTATCTGACAAGTTTCTAATTACACTAATTACCTAAAACATCTAAAGCTGTTTTTTATAATGTCGCAATTATTAGCATCACTGAATAAACCGAGTAGATTAGTCTACTTAAAACTTCAGGAATTCTGGCTCTAGATATTCTAGGTATTCTACTAAGTTATAGTATTTCATTTGTAAGTCGCTTTGGACAAGTGTCTGCTGTAAATTACTAAATGTAAATGTATTAAACAGATTCATTTCATCTAGAGACTATCTAGTCTAGGGGAAAGAGGGGCACAAAGTAACACTTTTTGGATTTGGCCAAATAATGAAAGTAATAGAGTTAGATTTAACCTTTTTTTTTTTTTCCAACAACACACAAGCCTCTCCTACAAATGAGCACTGGAATTATGATCGCCAGACTTATGGTTTCTGTGCAGTATTGCCAAATTTACTCCACCTTTGGGGCAAGCTGTAACAGACAGATGGTTGTAACGCATGATTAAAAAGTCTGATTTCACACAATTAATTTAAATTCAGTTTACTTTAAAAAGTATATTTCATAAGTACTTAATTTTTGTATTCTACATAGCACAGCATGATTATTTATCTATTGGAATAACACATTTTGATTTATTTGCATTATTATCATTACAACATCACTGTGTCTTCCTCAAAACTGGCTAGCAGTCACTTTTTTTTTTTTTTTTTTTTACACCTTTTAAAATGGTTCCATATTTTAGCCTAGAAGACGGTGATCACAACAGTATAAGATTTAACGTACATACTTTCACATATTTTTAAAATAAAAAATATAGAGTATAATACAAAATACTTTTATGCTGCAAAAATGGTTTCTCTTTCTCATATAAATGTCGCAGAACTTTTACAATAATTGTCAGGAAGACTTCTGGATACACTGTGGTGAAAACCTTGGGAGCATGCCAGGGTTAACCCCGAGCAAATACCTTAAAACTCTGTATTACATTTTACCCCGTGTTACTTTATGCCCTGCACTCCCCATCTACTGCTACTGTAATAAATGAACACAAACTGTTATATAATTTCTCATTATTAACACTAACATGAAATCTGCTTTTTCTTCCCTCTCAGGCTGATCTGGTCATTTCAGATTAGAGAAATCCACAGACATATTGTAAAAGCAGATGGACATGTCTGATCATGGTAATTTCCAGCACACTACAAACACACCAGTTATAAGGACTGATTTTCCTAAAGATATGTAATGATCAGTGTTGGGGAAAGTTACTTTTGAAAGTAATGCATTACAATATTGAGTTACTTCGAAAAAAAGTACTCGTTGAGTTACTTGGTTACTTTATGGTTAGTAGTGTGTTACAATATTGAGTTACTTCAACAACAAAAAAGTACGAGTTGTGTTCCTTTTTTATAGTAAGTAATGTGTTACATTACTTTTGCATTACTTTTTATTAGCTGGCTGAGGCTTGATTTTATTCAGAAATAGTTTTTTTTATTTTAATAGAGGAGCTTTGCAATTAATAATGCACCATGTATCACACATCTTCATTTACCTTTAATAAAACACACAAAAAAAAATATTTAGGATAATGTTATCTGAGAATTTTCTTACCCCAGAGCTTTACATGCCATATACAGATTATTGAAAGTTTAAAGAAATGTGTTTGCTTCTTTTCTACTATTTATCTAAAGTAAAATCACTGTTCATTGAGACTGTAGTCGTAGTTTACAGTTTTAATCCAAAGAATGACCAGTCTGTCAGACAAAGAAGAGCCGAAGTCAGATTCAAATAAGTTTACTGAAGATAGTTTGCAGTTTCATCAGCAGAAGCCAGCTTCAACACTTGCAATTCCTAGGCCGCTCTGCTTACAATCATAAATCAACATCAATTTTACTCTCACATAATGTCATTAACTGCGTCATACATATAGGTGTTTTAACCTGATTGGTTGAAACATAGAAAGACTAGAAAAATTTCCACAGGGGTGTGTGCGTACAATTCTGAATAATATCTCAAGCATATATACGTCAGACATCCATTAGATTGTTTAGAGCTGACCTCAGACCTGTGAAAAGGATCCACAATCGAATAGAACATACACATACACTCTCCAAGTACAATCAGTTTCTTACGCAAAGCTAAGTGTACTTTCAGCCATCTTTATCAAAACTGGTTAAAAACTGCTACAATCTACATTCAGGCAGTTATATACTCACTACATAAAGTCTATCTTGAATAAAAAGGAAAATCACTTTAAACAGAAATAACACATAATAATAATATCAAAATCACTTTAGATCATGTTAACACTCAGCAATACAAACAGGAAATCAGTTGTTTTCTATCATCAAGCCCTTCAGTTCCACTCGAGGTCTCCATGACCTCTGACCTGGTTTAGTGGCTCCTGAAAATAGTTACAAAGAGACAGGCAAATTCACTGAACATTCTTACATTGTATTAAACAATGTGTTCACTTTATTCATTAGTCAAAATCATTTCAAGATGAAATACTGATTCAAATAGTTATATTAATAGAGTAATATGAAAATGATAATTGTTGATCCATGCTGGGATGGATTTTAAGGCAGAAATCTGAATCCAGACAATCCTCTTTTCCTCTATATTTTCAAAATCATGAGCACATTCTCTCATCAACTGCGTGATTCATTGAGACTACTTTCATTTTATTTCAGCTATTTATTTTTATTTAAACAAATAAGTAACTGGTCCCACTTTATATTAAGTGGCCTTAACTAATAAGTACTTACACATGAATTAATAGTTTGTTACAATGTACTTATTGTGTAAATGCATGTATTTACTGTGTACTTATGATTGATTAAATACATGTCTGTAATTACATCTGTAGTTTACTTTTGTTATTACATTTGTAAATACACTGTTGACCATCCATTACACTTTAACCCATCCTTAAACCTACCCATGCCACTAAACCTGTCCATAACCCAACCTCTATCCCAACACAAAAGCACCACAAGTGTTCTCAAATACATTATAAACACAGTAAGTACATTGTTTTTGTTTTTTTATGTAAATACACAGTAGTTTAGGACACTTAATATGAAAGTGGGACTGTAACTTATTACATTTTCAAAAAAGTAACTCAAATAATATTACTTTTTTTAAGTAATCCATTATTTTACTCGTTACTTGGAAAAGTAATATTTTTTTTATATAACCTTTATTACTTGTAATGCATTACCCCCAACACTGATGGTGATATTTCTGGTATAAGCTCAGTCAATTTGCTAAATCTGCTAAAAACAATCTTAATGACCTGTCTTTTGTTTGTTTCAAGACAATGTGGGATCTGTGGAGCCTCATGGAGTGTCTAAAATCACCATCTCTGCTCAGAATGGAAGCAGTGTTTCAGCACCTGTGATTTTAAACTCAACAGTCACAGGAAATATTAGTATTTCTAATAATTTCTTTCCTGGTGAGTAAATGTGCCTGCTATTTTAGTGGATATTCCACTGCAGAACACAGCTCTATTACATCTGTTGTCAGTACAAATTCAGAGATTATTAAAGAATTAAGTTCAGTTTTTTGTAATAATCTGCTTTATTATTCTGTTGTAGAACCTGCAGCTGAAGTCACAGGTAATATGCAGTACTGCACTGTAAAATACCATCATATTTGACTGTGATTGCACATTGGAAAAAACTAAAATTCAGTTCTCATTTACTCACCCTCATGCCAATTCAAATTTGTAAGACTTTATAAAAAACACACAGAAAAAAAAAAATGTGATGATAAATGATCAGATTTAAACAAAAAGCTGTACACTGTAAATAATAAATCCGCAAAATTTACGGTAAAAAAAAAACGGCAGCTGTGGTTGCCAGTACTTTACCGTTGAAAATACGGTACAAACCACAAAAATAATTTCTCATTTTTACAGTACAGTACCGTATTTCATTAATTTATAGAGGTAATATGTCTGTATTTTGAATTACCAACATCTACACATCTTTTGATACACAGATAGACATGTTAAGCCATATGCAGGTGGTGATGAGAAAGTTACAGAATGAACCAATGCTCATCACAGTCAACTTTCTCACAAGCAGAAAAGTGTATCAGTTTAATGAAGGTGCTCAGTGTCATTCATCCAGCTACTAAACACCAGTATAGTAACACACATAAAATTAAAGTCATGAAATAAACATTGTTTATTAACATTAGGTGTAACATAAATCTCTAATGTACATAACTGATGGAGCAACAACTACAAAGATCCATATTAATGTCAACAAAAAGCAAAAAAGTGATCTACCATGCAAGGAATTCTGGGAAAGTCAGTTTATGGTTATTAGCTGTATATATTAAGGAAACATACTGTTAACCAGGTTACGGAGTTTTACTGTAGCATTTTTACATTTTATGAAATTACGGCCATTTTTCACATTGTATGGTTTAAGTATCCATCTGTAGATTTTTTCTTTAAAACATTTTTATATTTGAATGTGCATTTTGTAAGTAAGTAAAGATTTCTTTATATAGCACCTTCCACAGACATTAAGTCACAAAGTTCTTTACTTTAGTAAAAGAAAACCTAAATAGGCGAGGCAGTAGCGCAGTAGGTAGTGCTGTCGCCTCACAACAAGAAGGTCGCTGGGTCGCTGGTTCCAACCTTGGCTCAGTTGGCGTTTCTGTGTGGAGTTTGCATGTTCTCCCTGCCTTCATGTGGGTTTCCTCCGGGTGCTCCGGTTTCCCCCACAGTCCAAAGACATGCGGTACAGGTGAACTGGGTAGGCTAAATTGTCCGTAGTGTATGAGTGTGTGTGTGAATGTGTGTGGATGTTTCCCAGAGATGGGTTGCGGCTGGAAGGGCATCCGCTGCGTAAAAACTTGCTGGATAGGTTGGCCATTCAACCCCGGATTAATAAAGGGACTGAGCTAACAAGAAAATGAATGAATGAATGAATGAATGAAAACCTAAATAAAAAGGTAAAAGAAAACATATTAAAACAAGATAAAATCCAAGAAACAAAACACCAATGTAAAACCAGCTCACCGTACTGTTAATGAAAAGCTTGACCGAAAAGTTGTGTCTTTAAATGCTTTTTTAAATGTTCGACTAATCCCAGAGCTGTCAGTTCTAGAGGGAGACACAACACAGAGGCATGGTCACCTTTAGTCTTAAGATGAGTTCTGGGAATGGCTAAAAGGTCTTTGGCAAAGTACCTTAGAGACCGGCTACATGAGTTACTACACTGTGAAAAAAATCTGTAGTTTTACGTTTTTTACATCTCAGCTGCCGGAAAAATTACATAAATTTACCGTAAAATAGCAGACATTAAGTTACAGAAATTTCCTTATATTTACATTTCTGGTAAATTTCTGTAAAGGAACGTCTGTTATTGTACGGTAAATTTCTGTAAATTAACAGCTATTATTTAAAGTTTTTTTTCGGCATCCCAGCTGCTGAAAAAAAAATTTAAATTACCAATTTTTTTTTACAGCGTACATAAAAAAAATATCTTAAATATAAAGGGAGGCCTGACCATGCAGAGTTATATATGAGTATTATATCTGTATTAACAGAATCTTAACATTTACTCTAAAACTAATAGGAAGCCAGTGAAGTGCCTTAGGCATAAACGTGATGTGCGACCTCCTACTGGTGTTGGTAAAAGGCCTTACAGCTGCATTCTGCACAACTTGCAATCGATCTATTGAAGATTTGTTGAGAGAAGTGAACAGAACATTGCAATAATCCAACTGTGAAGAGATAAAGGCATAAACGAGCATCTCCATCTGTTCCTTTTGAAACAATATTTCTGATTTTTGTGATGTTCCTCAGATTTAAAAAACATGTACGAACAACAGACTTAACATGGCTATTAAAACACAGAGCTCTATCGAAGATGACACTCAGATTTCTAATGTCACTGCAATTTGATGAAGATCACATGCCCCCAAAAACTTGCCTAAGCATTGGGGTGATGCTATCTGGAGCAAAAATCAACATTTTAGTTTTATTAGTAAAGCCTGTTTTATAATATAATATAATATAATATAATATAATATAATATAATATAATATAATATAATATAATATAATATAATATAATGTAATATAATATAATATAATATAATATAATATAATATAATATAATATAATAAAATATAATAAAATATAATATAATATTTATAATATATAATATAAAAACCTTTCGAATAATCACCCTACATAATTATCAGTTTATATATATATATATATATATATATATATATATATATATATATATATATATATATATATATATATATATATATATAGAGAGAGAGAGAGAGATATATATATATATATATATATATATATATATATATATATATATATATATATATTTATTTATA